AAGTCTGCTCACGATATGAACTACTCTCAGGACACATCGGATCTCAAACTGTGCTAATATTCTTCTTCCTCTTCGTTCTTCACTGTAATAAGTTTCATTTCAAACCTGACGGTCTATAGGGCAAGTGAAGTAGAGTTCACTTGTTTCTGTGACTCGGCATATGAAGAGATAGTGTGGTCAGCACTATGCCCAGCCGCCGTTACTTTCCCTAACGTGAGTTAGGTACCCACAGAGTTTCTTCCAGGCATCTCTTCGGGGGGGGGGGGGTGGCGAAGCCCTCCCGAAAAAATTTTACCGCCCCCCCCCCCCCCGAACGAAATGAAATTTATATAATTTATATAGAAAATATATACTTTTAACAGTGTCCGCCCCCCCCCCCCCCGAAGAAAGTTTACCGCTCCCCCCCCCCCCCGAAAATTTCAAGTGCCCCCCCCCCCCCCCCCCCCGGAGAAAAAAAGTCTGGAAGAAACACTGGGTACCCATCAGAGTTGGATGGACTCAGGGACGGTCTACTGACTTGAACCCGGATTCGCACTCGAGACTTGCGGGTTAGCAGTCCAGCTCTCTACCGCTATCTTCACTGTAATGTTGAAATATATTTCCAACTTGTTATGCGTTATATAAGTCATTGAATCCGATTTCAGCCTGCTTTTCGTTTCGGATTTGCTTCCATAGCCTTTGTCCAACCAAGAACAAACTACAAGGCAGCAGCTCCTAGAAGATTTGCTGTCCCTAGTTATCGAGTTATCTGCTCCGGGATTCGAACTCGGGACATATCGGTTTAGCAGTCATGATCTTTACCGACTCAACCACGCTTAACATATTGATTTTGAGTCACACATGAAGTTTACTGTAGGCCAACATTACATTACATACCTTCTACCTATACCAGTGTTTCTTAACCTGTGTTCTATCGAACCCCAAGGGTTCGGTGAGTCAGTTTCAGGGGTTCAGCGGAGATTAAAACACACCCGACTCATATGATTCACGATCGGACTTTGTCAGTGCGGGTGATAGAACTATTACTGTGATGAATGCGCTTGTCAAACTGGTAGGGCCCGGTACTTCCTACAAGGTTGAGAACCACTGGTCTATACAAAGCTTAGGTATGCGAAACATTCTTATAACTCGGGTTCTTGGTGAATTCTGATGACCATCTGTTGACGAAATAAAAAAAAAAAATTTAAACGTGAGTTGGACAAAATCCGGCAAGTAGGAAATATGAGAGGCTGAAAAAACCCTACATGTAATGTTGATGTTATCTGTAAATAGAATACCCGGTGCGGTAACCCATAGCGTCAACCCCAGTAGTGTTTCTTACAGGCATCTCTTCGTGAGGGGGCGGGAGGCGCCCTCCATCCGAAGAGAGACTACCGCCCCTCCCCCTCCCACCGAACGAAATGGAATTTATATAGAAAATATATACTTTTAATCGTTTCCGCCTCCTCGAAAAAAATCCCCCCCAGGAAGAAACACTGACCCCCAGCACCAACGAGAGAGTAACCACCGCATTACATTTCAACAACACTATAGGCGAATGGCTTAGATGAGTTTAGAATAACGATAGGCGTCCGACAAGGTTGCTTGCTCTCTCTCCCATCCATTTCAATATCTACCCAGAACGGGGCATGACTGACGCCTTGGATAACCATATCGTCTCAGTTGTCATCGACGAACGTATTATAATCAACCTAAGGGTTTGCTGATGACATAGATGCCATCGCAGGCAGTGTATACGAGTTTGAACAGAACATGAACAACATAGGGCATAACAAATCAATGGTTATGACCAACAATACAAATAACTATAAGTGTAAATGGCCAATGATCGGACGAAGTTCATTGGTTTAAGTAACTTGGCGCCATCTTATCTGATGAGGGGAAAAAGCAAGAAATACTTGCCAGAAATTCACAAATAAGAACATCATTCACAAAATTAAGAAGCATTTGGTGCGACAAAAATATCTCTTTCAGCAGATAAAATTTAACTCTTGCGGTCAATTGTGGTGTCTCCCCCCCCCCCCCCGAAGGTCTAACGCCCCCCCCCCCCCAACGAAATGGAATTAATATAGAAAATATATACTTTTAACAGTGACCACCCCCCACCCCCCCCACCCCCACAAATTTTAGTCCGTCCCACGAAAATTTCAAGTGCCCCTCCGGAGAAAAAACTCTGCAAGAAACACTGCTCTCTTCCTCTATGGATGCGAGACATGGATCCTCAACGCAGACCTCCAGAGAAGAACCCAGACCCTGCTGGAAATTAGTTGTTTGCGTAGACCATAGGGATCACATACAGAGATTATACAGCAGACTCCTTGCGAAAAGTGGTCTATTTGGTTTCACCCCTATTCTGGATAGACTAACTGTGCTTAAAGAATAAAGATGTTTCAAACTTTTGAAAGACAGTAAACAAAATACAGGTTTCTTATTCAAGTGATCTTTTTTTCGTAGTTGTGTCACCCCTTGGATTTGCCACTTGATTCGGCCCTCACCTCCCCCCCCCCCTGCTATTTCACAAAGGGGTCATCCTTAAATGAAGTCAGGCTTTTTTTGACGATTTTTACCTCCCCCCTCCCCTCCGTCACAAAAAGCCAGACCCCCCCCCCCCTAAAATGACGTCGCACCTCAACCTACAACCCCTCTCAAAATTGCAGTTGAATTTTTCTTAAAACATCGATTTTTTTCCAAAATCTTGTCAGAACTCTGCCAACAAAGATCAATTCCTATTACAATTTATTAAAACCGTTTTCTAAAACGCGAAATAACGGCTAAAACTCGTTTTCTAACATGGCTTTTTTATAATGCAAAAAAGTGACGTCACACCATCTGAACCCCCCCTCCCCCTCTTCACACACCGTCATACACTTACGGCCCCCCCCTCTCCCCTTCGAGTGTGACGTCATTTATGGACGACCCCAAGCCTCTACAAGGTATCATTATCACAATATCACTTACGTTGTGGTGTCTAGCGGCTGACATTTTAGAACCCCCGAGTTCTCCGGTGTCGTGCTGGGGTTATTCTAAGTGTCGCGCTCTGACGTGAAAAAACTAGGCCCCGTACAAAACCGTCTCACTAGATCGATACTCATGATCGCATTCTTCTGTCCGGGGTCAGCGGTCTAACATCGATCTTTTGGTATGCGGCTCAAATGACGTGTGTGTGAACGGCAGCCATAGGGTAATGAGAGGGGCGGAAGGTTTTTTTATTATTGAATAAATTATGCTATTTCTGACGGAAATAGGTGCCTTCTTCTAACAAATTTAAATATATTATGTATATATATATATATATATATATATATATATATATATATATATATATATATATATATATATATATATATATATATATATATATATAGCCTATACATATAAATATAACCTATATTAATATATATATAGCATATATATATATATATATATATATATATATATAGTAAAGTAAGTAAAGTTTCCCTTTCAAACCTGACGGCCTATGGGGCAAGTGAAGTAGAGTTCACTTGTTTCTGTGACCTCGGCATATGAAGAGATAGTGTGGTCAGCACTATGCCCAGCCGCCTTTACTTTCCCTAACATGAGTTAGGTACCCATCAGAGTTGGGTGGACTCAGGGACGGTCTACTGACTTGAACCCGGATTCGAACTTGAGACTTACGGGTTAGCAGTCCAGCTCTCCACCGCTCGACCACTCCGCCCCTATATATATATATATAGCCTATATATATATCGGCTATATATATACATACACACATATATATAGATGTATTCGAATTTTTTGTCTTTTGTTAGACCAATAGCTTAATATATTATTGAAACATCATTCCCATTAACAAGTTAGAAACCTTGAGGCAAGCGGGCGGGGGGAGGAGATGTAGGGCCCACAACCTTTATCTTTAAAAGTAAAATGGTTTTGCTTGTCCATAATTAGGTAATAAAAATAGCCTGATTGCAGCTGGTCAAGCAAATATTTCATTGTTATGACATTATATATGACTTTGCTTCATTTGACTTTAATAAACACAGTAACACAATTTACAGTCTACTAAACAAAAAACTGATTACATTAACTCTGATCATAAAAAAATAAAATTTTATTTTAAAAAAAATATATTAAATGCATTAACAAAAAAAAAACATGTCTGTAAAATTATGCAATTTTTTAAAGTGACAAAGGTCACACCTGTCTTTAGATAAAATTACAAACACAAAAATAAACAAATGAGTTCTATTTTTACTACACTAATAACACGTGTCTAATTTTACCCCACAAGCAAAGGCTAAAAAACTGAGACCATAAACACTTCAAGTAATGAAACAAAATATTTTTGGTTATTTCTTTTTGGTCACTTTTAGAACAAGAGTAAAGTTTATGATTTTTTATTATTATTTTGTAATGAGGAGTTAATGCTAAAATTAAGCCATTGCCAAATTATTTTTTAAGTACCAGTACCAGTATGAAAAATATCTAGACCCAAAAAGTGTTTTAATAAGCACAAATATGTTTTTTCACTACATAAATTGACAACAAAGGTACTGGTTGACAATAATTTTAAATGTCTATCTATCTATATTTATATCTCAATTTATATCTATCTATATATATGCAAAAATATCTATCTATATATTATATATATCTATATATGTATTGATGTCTAAAACTAGTTATAGTTAAATAATACATTTTTATAAAATAGTGACAATAATCTCAAACATTTCTTAAAGATAAAATACTGAATAAACAGACCCATATTTTTAAAATAATGTTCAAACAAAAGTGCTGTGTAGCCATTAGTGCTGAGTTCAAGAAACTAGCCTCAACCAAACCAGGAAGTGATTACAGGCTTACTAAAGGTTCTTGCATTACAATATCAGGGGAAGTAACCTAACAAACAGGGGAAATAACCGTAGGCTGGTATAACTTCTTGTACTCAAAAATCCAGACCCTGGACATAATGTTTTAATAAAAAAAAAACACCAAACGAAAGATCTGATTTTTTTTCTGGAGAACTCCAGGTTAACAATTATCAGGGAATGTAAAATAGCATTAAAAACAAGAGACATTGTAGAGATGAAAGCTGATGACTTAAACAGGCATAAAAAGTTAAATGCAAAAACATTTATGCAACTTTAAAAATAAAGGCAACATGATAGGAACCGGGAGGTGGGGAAAGTGTAGAGTAGAATTAGTGAACAACTGCAAAACAACTTGACAGCATCTTAAATAGGTAGCATTACAAAAACTGGCCATGTAACATAATTCGTATTTTATTGTAAGAAATACAATTGACATTTGAGATTGTTTACAATTATATAAAATTATAACAAAATATGTGCATTGAAATATCAATAAATCATTAACTTTATCAAGAAAAAACACAGTAAGCTTTTTAAAGAAAATTATATATTTTTAAGAAAAATAATTGCATTTATTGTTAAGAACTTTTACAACAGCAACCCAATAAAATTGAAATGTTCCAGTAAATCTGATTAAAAATTTACAAAAACACCAGTCACAAAAATATTTTTAAAATCTGAGCTTATACAAAAATAACAATTTAAAAAATAAAAAAATATAACAACCTTATAAGGTCCTGATTAAGAACCGAGCAAAATTTTCTAATTTTTTTTTTGCCTCCCACCACGGAATACGCTAATCATTCATATGAGGTGTGATGACACCTAAGACACCCCCCACCAGATGAAGACTGCCGGTGATTAAGACCTGCACATGACCTGCTGTAGCTACAGGACTTTCAACACACTGACCAACAAAAGCAGCATCTCGTCCATGTGCTGCCCATACCAGGGCATCATAAATACAAGGAAAGACAAAGGACGGAACTTTTTTCTTAACCCCTTCATGGGAAGAAACACGTTTTACATTTTTTGTTGCAATAATGTCAGTCGGAACACTCAAATCATTAGTTTCGTCAAAATGGGAATTTATTACAGATTTTTTTGGACCGAACACTAAGGAATCTTTCTCGTTGTAGTTAATATCCAGCTTGTCTGTTGGTGTCGAGGTTACAGACCCATCTGGTTCATCATTAAACAGCTTGTCCCAGCTCTCTCTGTTGCACTCAGCACGCTTCAGCATAGACTGGCATGTTACTGTTTTGTTGAATTGGTCTGTCAACATTTCAGAATAGAGTTATCTCCCTGTCTGTACAACTACATTAACTTAAACACATTTGTAATCAAACTTCTTAAGTAATCTTAAATTTTAAAAAACAACTAAAGAAAGTGCACAAAATCTAAGTCTAATACTAATTAAAAATTCGAATAAACTTTACTTGCAAACTGAAAAATCTTGAAGACCACAGCACTTGTAAATCTAAACCTCTAAGTATGTCAGGGTTAAAATTTGAAGTTCCCTTTTCAAACCTGATAATCCATGGGGCAAGTAATGGTTAGCTTTATGCCCAACCGCCTTTACTTTCCATAACTTGAGTTAGATACTCATCAGAGCTGGGTAGACTCAGGGACTGTCAACAGACTTGAACCCAGATTCAAACTAATGACTATTGGGTTAGCAGTCTAGCACTCTACACCGCTAGGCCATGCCTAGGTATGATCAAATGAAAAAAATTCAAATAATTTTGTAAATTACTAGCCTAGATAGATCTCACCAGCTATGTTCATGGACTCATCAGTTGACAGGATATTGGTGCAAAAAACAGCTGCATCAAAATCACAGTCCTGAAATCAGTAAAAAAAACCTATTTAATTTGCTATGTTTATGATTTGCTTATGATATAAACAATATTAGAAGCCTAATCTTCACACTGTCAGTCATATTCTTCCTTCATCCAAAACCAATGGATACCCAGCTTGAATGGTATCATCAACAACAAATTGTAGATACTCCTCACACTATACATATGTAATACACACAGGCGTTACCTTCAAACAACTTAAAAAAGGTTCCACATCTCTATCTCCAGTTGAATTGAATATCAAAATACGTATCACATTTTGACTGAAAAAGTTATAAATACATCAATTAAAGTCTTGAAGCAGATAAGTAAACCATTCAAAGCAAAAATAGCTACGACTAAAAAATACAAACTTGTAATATATTTATAACAGTCTAGGATATTCATTGTTAAAAAAAAAATTCTATGATTAGATAAAAAGACACAAAAATAATGGCCCACCTGAGTTGTACTTTTTCTTTATAAGATGCTTCTTTAAACCAAGCAGAACATACCTGAAGTTAAAACAATAAAAATATGAAGCACACAACCTGAAGTTAGATAATAGACATGAAGCTTTAATAAAAGGAAAAAGTAAATCACCAGCTGAAAATTTTTGAAATGAGCTTTGCTACAACCTGATTACCTACCTACTCCTCTTTGAATGAATACATGCAGTATTTTTTATATTTGAAATTAACTCATGTTACGATACTAAGGAAACATAAGTAATGAGGTACATCTGCTTATATGTAACTTTTAAAGATTCTTTAGAAGCACAATTGGATGTCCTGTGCAGCTAACTACATACATCCCCCTGCCTAAACCACCTACTCCCAGTGTAGGAAGGGTGAAGTGAATACACTACCCTTGGCTAGAAGGTTCAAAAGCCTCAATGCTCTCTTTGGTATTAGCTCCATTGAGATAGTATGTGACATTGTCCCTGGTCACAATTTGTGTCCTGCCTACTCCCAGTACAGGAATAATGAAGTGAATACACTACCCTTAGCTTGAAGGTTCTAATGGAAACCAGTGTTAGAAAAAAATACCTCAATGCTCTCTTTAGTATGAGCCCCATCAAGATAGTATGTGACATTGTCCCTGGTCACAATTTGTGTCCTGCCTACTCCCAGAACAGGAAGAATGAAGTGAATACACTCCCCTTAGCTTGAAGGTTCTAATGGAAACCAGTGTTAAAAAAAAATACCTCAATGCTCTCTTTGGTATGAGCACCATCAAGATAGTATGTGACATTGTCCCTGGTCACAATTTGTGTCCTGCCTACTCCCAGTACAGGAAGAACGAAGTGAATACACTACCCTTAGCTTGAAGGTTCTAATGGAAACTAGTGTTAAAAAAAAATACCTCAATGCTCTCTTTGGTATGAGCCCCATCGAGATAGTATGTGACATTGTCCCTGGTCACAATTTGTGTCCTGCCTGGCCATGAACATGAGGACAGACCTGCAGAAATGAACAAAGTCTGTGTACACATCATGCGCAAAATATCTGCACATTAATATTTACAAATTCAAATCCAAAGCAAAATTGATCACTTATTGTGATGTCAAGTTTTTAAATTGTAAATAGTTAAATAGTACAGTACTGGTTCTTCTTCTTCTTCTTCGTTCTTAATTTTAGTGTTGGAAGGGATCCCCTCCAACACAATTAAGGATACGTGTCAACTGGTTATGCGTCATTGAGGCCATTGACTCCGATTTCAGCCTGCTTTTCTTTTTGGATTTGCTTCAATAGCCTTTGTCCAACCAAGAACAACCTACAAGGCAGCAGTTGTTTGATTTTGGAGTTGTCTCTCCTAGAAGAGTGGCTATCCCCAGCTAACGAGCCTCATCTGCCCGAGACAGTACTGGTTGAAGAGGTGGATTTGGGAGTAAAAGTTCCATTGTCAAAGCATGGGGGTTTAAAGTCATATTTTCTACTCAGCCATACCAGTTTGTCAAAATGTAGTTATCTTGTTTCATTTGAGACTCTTAGGGGGCAAGCATAATCCCCAGTCCACGGACAGCAAGCCGCTGGTCAGATAATTAGCCAGTGGACTGGTAATTGCTAAGGGGTCATCCATTTATGATGTCCACAAAGTTTTTGGATTTTGGGACCACCCCTCCCCCCCCCCCACAAAAATCCACTTATTTCTTATTTCCCTTATAAATGTCCATACTTGTCCACAATTTTTTTCAACCCCCCCCCCCTGTGTGGATGTCATAAATGGATGACCCCTAATGACACCCCCCCCCCCCCATGTAATCTGTTTTAGGAAGAGTCCATAGAGAGAGCAGAGAGTGTTGTTAATGGAGAACCAACTGACCACATATTGTAGCATCATCAAGTTCTTGGACTTCCAATACTGGAATGTTCTCTAAGGTCTGATGGTCTGGGGTTCCAGGCAGAAGCTCTTCTGAAGAAGTTTTTGATAAATGTTAATGTTTTGAATCAATGTGTTGTGAAACATGTATTCATAAAATATGTAATACAATACATTAAAATCAAACATTAAGTCATAATCCATTTAGTAAAAAAAAAAAACAAAAAAAACCTCAGCAATATTACTTAAAAAGTGGTTGATAAGTGATAAATTAGTTACTATTTAATCAATTTTGGGGGGGGGGAAAATCTGTATTGATTATTCAATAAAAAAAAGAATGAGATGAAAAAGCAAATAGTAGAAATCTATAGACATGAGGAACTAAAGTGATGATAACAAGGATATTTACTTAGCAAAAAAGTTAAAAGCTGATGTTCCCCATAATAATACACCCATAATTAAATCGCTAGTCACAAAAAAAAAATGAATATATAAGGGTAGAGCTATCAGCATACTTATAATTTATTACAATGAACGTATCAAAATACAAGACAAACATTCTGATATCAAAAAGTAAAATCTTACTCTGGCCATTCCTTTTCTCCCACATGCGGCACAGCTGGACAGCCAATGCTGCATTCTCTATCTGCTTTGCCCCATCTATGCCAAGGTGAAGGTTGTACTTATCAACCACTTCACTTCTGATTGGCTCAGCTAGGTAAAGGGGGTTCTGGGTTAATAAAACAATCCTTGTGTGAAGCAAACAACTCAACCAACAAACAGCAATAAATCATTGTACAGTTATTTTTTTTTAAATGAATACAAATTTAATTAATTACAAAACGTATATCTTTCTTGCTAATATTCAATATAAAATATTTTAGCAATATTAAAAAAAACTCTGCTGAATTTTTTTTTTAAATTCGCTGTTTAGATAAACAACTACCAAAATATATAAAAAATATATAATGCATCTATATTTATATACACATACATACATACATACATCAGAAAAAGTTTTATAGTTATTATTCAGTTTGATTTATTTTTCATTCTAATATTGTGATAGCATCTTTTGAAGGAATGGAAATCTAAAAATGAATTTTATAACTATGATACCTTAATCTCCTTGGCTCTATCCAGCAAAACTTGAAGAGCATTTGAAACTTGTGGGACAGTAATTGCAGGGTGACCTGCCTAAGTTTACAAGACATAACATTTAACATTTCAAAATAAGAAAATATCACAAAAAGGTGCACATTACCAGGACAAAAAAAACTAAAGATCAAAATCTGGACAATTTTCTACTTAAATATATCCAAATAAACATTTTTTTTTTGGGACGGAGTGGTCTAGAGGTAGAGAGCTGGACTGCTAACCCGTAAGTCTCGATATCGAATCCGGGTTCAAGTCAGTAGACTGTCCTTGAGTCCACCCAACTCTGATGGGTACCTAACTCACGTTAGGGAAAGTAAAGGTGGCTGGGCATAGTGCTGACCATACTATCTCTTCATATACCGAGGTCACAGAAACAAGTGAACTCTATTTCACTTGCCCCATAGACCATCAGGTTTGAAAGGGAAAACTTTAAACATTATTTTTAAATAATATTAACTAAAAGTTTCTGTTTCCATTAGCTTATTATTCTGCCAATTTCTAAAAAAAAACTTAAAACAAAATGATCACCTTAAAAATTCCTGCCTTATTCCAAGCAATCTGTTCTATAGTGTTCCCCAAAACTGAAGTGTGGTCAAGTCCAAGGGAAGCAACTCCACACACCACAGGTTTTCTGAAGAAATTTGTGCTATCATACTGCCCTCCAATGCCTACCTCCATAATGGCTACATCAACACCTTCAGCAATAAAGACATGCAGGGAAAGGACGGTGAAGAAAGCAAAGTATGCTGGCATTCCACCACCTTCCTCCTTATCCTGTGTGAATTCAATTTAGTTCAAATAACAACAAAGTTTGAAAATGTTTATTTAAATAATAAACAACACATAAACAACACTGTTAATCACAAAGTTTAGCATGAGCAAATAAGAAATGTAAACAGTATTACATTATAAGAAGGGACACTGTCAAATGGTAGTAATGGTCTATAAGTGTAATGAGGTGGAATTTTGAGACCCATTCTGTGACCTTGATGTATAAAGGGATTGTATTTAGCACCTGTCAGCCTTAAGATATTGTGTGTTTAGCATCTGTCCAGGTTAAGATGTTGTGAGTTTAATCTATTTTGTGTGTTAAGCACCTGTCAGCCTTAAGATATTGTGTGTTTAGCATCTGTCCAGGTTAAGATGTTGTGAGTTTAATCTATTTTGTGTGCTAAGCACCTGTCATGGTTTAGATGTGTTTAGAACCTGTCTTGGTGAAGGGAAAATGTGTTCAATATTTATACTGGTCAAGGGATTGTGTGTTTTATCATGACCTGGTCAAGGAATTTTGTATTGAGCACCTTGTTTAGGTAATTTAAGCCAATGAAGTAGAGTTTGTATCTGTGACCTCAAAATGTATAGTTAACATGATACCCAGCCATCATTACTTACCCAAATCAAGTCAGGCATACAATAACTCATAAGCTAAATTTTTCAACCTCAAGGTTAGTATTGGTGCTTTACTATTTGACCAGTTGACCCAACATTCAATGTTTACTATTTAAAAACTAACAAAAAAAAAACAACTCCTACCCCAGTTTCAGTTTGTTTTAAGGCAGTGTAGACTTTCCAGAAGTATTTACTGAACATCTCCTTGCTGAGAGGTCTTCCATTGATCCGGATCCTCTCCCTCACTTCTATGAGATGTGGGGAGGTGAAGAGGCCAGTTTTGTAACCTTTTGAGTGAAGGATCCTTTCACAGAAAGCGCAGGTGGACCCTTTGCCTTTAGTGCCACTGACGTGGATCACAGAGAGATTGTCGACTTCCTCCACCTGAGAACCAAAATCAACAATTGTTGGTATTAAAAAATTCTAAAAAAAAAAAAAAAACCTAAACCTAGGAAAAAATATTTTTAATTAGCAGATATCGGATATCCCCTTTTTTTGTTCTCAAGAACTAAAATAATGTATCACACATAAATCTATGATTTTGTATGTACTATATGCAAATTTGAGTTACCGTAAGGCCTGAGCGATGAATATAACGGTTCATGTTGGGAACGCTCTTAACATTTTTTTTGTCCTTTGATTCACGTACTTTAGCTATTGTTTCAGCATTTGATTGAAGGTTTTGAAGTGCTATCACTGCCTCCTGGTTTAAAAAATCAAAACATTAGTGATATCAGTCACAATTAATAGTTATTTTACAAATTGCTAAACTATTACTTTTAAACTATATTTAGGTATTATGTTTGTGATTTTTGCATGGAGTAGTAATGTATTCGAAGTTTATAGGATTATTATAAGAAAGATAAAATGGGATCTATACATAAGATATTTATAGAGTACATTTTCTATAAAGTTAAATTAGCATCACAGAAATAAGCATGAGAAAAAAAAATTCTGGTTCTTGGCAGGAAATAACTTGTAAATCTATAGTTTTGGCATAGCCTTACTATTGATACTGATGTCCAATAATATACTCTTCAAAAAATAGGTGTGTCTTCTTCTTCTTCTTAATTTTAGTGTTGAAAGGGAACCCCCTCCAACACAATTAAGGATACGTGTCAACTGGTTATGCGCCATTGACTCCGAATTCAGCCTGCTTTTCTTTTTGGATTTGCTTCCATAGCCTTTGTCCAACCAAGAACAAACTACAAGGCAGCAGTTGTTGGATTTTGGAGTTGTCTCTCCTAAAAGAGTGGCTGTCCCTAGCTAACGAGCCTCATCTGCCAGAGGGCTCGACTCGAGACTTTTCGGTTTAGCAACCTTGAGCTTTACCAACTCGACCACGCCAACATAGGTATGTTAGTAGTATTGTTACCTTTACTAGTTTTATGGTTAGGAATCAGGGTTAGGCATATGGCAAGACTAGGGTTGGGGTTAGCATTGACATTAGCATGCCATTTATGTATCTTAGTTAACTGTCAGCAACCCAACACCACTTTTTTAAGAAGATTCTATTATCGGAAACTGGTATAAAATCCTATTTCTATAAAATTAGCCTAGCAGTCTGCGTTAAAAGACAACACATGAACACAGGATTTGGTGATGGTGAAGTGAAGAAATGTGATGCAGCATACATTTCACGCCCACTTTGCACCTTCTCATCTTCACCAGTTTGTTCTATTGTTATGGTCAGAGGATTTCTTGCTAAACTAGGGCTTGAGTCACAGAAAATTGAAATACCGTAGGCCTAATAAGTAGTTTTAAGTCCAAATGAGCTAGGTCTAAATCTAATCGTGGAAATGTCAGTTTTAATAGCTGGAAAAAGATACGCATGTGCAATGGAGAGAAACTACTACTTGCCTTCGCGGCGATGTTTTCTATTGTACTGCACATGAGTGTGTTTACAACTGTAAAACCCTAGCCCTATCATTAACCCTAACCCTAGCTCATCCATGGTCATTGCGCATGAGCAGAACTATCTTTTGCTGACCAATTGGAGACGCTGGGGTGAAAAATCTTTTTCCGCGTAGTCACTTCGTTATTTTTTTGTCTGGTTGGTTCGAGACAGATTTCTGGTTTCTTTGGTGTTAAATTAAATAAAAAACTATTTAAATTTAAAATGTAGTGAGTATTGCTTTTACCTCATAGCCACCAGCTAATGAAGAAAAACTTGAGCTAGATCTATCCAGTTTTAAATTTGTGCTCCTGCTTTGCTGGGGAGTGTTTGTAAACAACTGACTTGTCATGGTTCTTACTAGATTTCGAGAGATCTTTATCATACTTTACAGAACGGTTTTTTCAAATACAGTTTGAGTTATAATTCATAGTTTATATTAGATCTAGTCTACTAGAATTAGTCTAGACCTAGAACTATAGATTTACTACCGGCGAACATGCTGCTGCTGTCGATGTTGTTGTTTACTCAACGTTTATTTCGGAATAGGCTAAATACCAGAAAATAAAAATAACACCAGAAAGCTGCAAAGGCAAAACCCCAAGTAAGTTAACGTACACTTTGGGTTACATTAGGGGAGAGGTTCTGGAATTTTTTGCAACGTGAGGATAGTTGGGGGAGGGAGGAAAAAAAATGCTACTATCTGATTTCTGTGCTTTTTTCTAGTGTCTTCTGCAAATATTGAAATTTAAACACGGTTGACACTAAAAGAGAAAAAAAGGGAAACAAATAATAAGTAATTATATTTTATTATATATAGCTAGATTTAACTTAAGTCCATTTTGCGATTAAATCGTGTAGTTTTTGTGAAATAAGCATAACTATTTTTCTAGATCTAGATCTAGATAGAGGTACTATGGTTAAAAATATCGCAATTGTGTCATAACGGGGTTTGTCGAGTTGTGTGGTTTTTTTGTTCAGCAGCTCTGTGTGTGTGCTTGTTGTATTGCTTTTTGTTATGTCGGGCACAATAGATATGTTTTTGACGGCTAATTTAGAGAGAAAACTGTCACAAGATGATTTTAAACGTCAGGGCGTTGTCGGATGGGAGTGATGTAGATGGTGGCGGCATCGGAGTTGGAGCGATGGCAGTTGGACGTTGGGCTGGATAATGAGATTGTAGGTGGCGGAAAGTTGGTTAGTATTTGTGATTTTTGCTGAAATGTTTAATAAGCATACTGTTGGTAGAACAGACTTATCGTTTAGCATTACAATAATTAGCAATTATCAATTGCTCGCCATCTTAAAAGTTTTGTTAAAATATTTGTTGATTTTGGGCTTCTACACTATACTATTATTTTTATCAAACTGCTAGGACTACTTTCACTTTTCGCAAATAAAGTAAACATTGAATCAATCTATCAGATTCTGGTCTAGATCTAGACTAGCTAGATCCTATCTGTCAAGAATTATACATCTAGATTTAGTCCTGACTATTGTTCATACTAAGTACATAGTAGACTCTAGATCAATTTACATTTAGTATATTTAGTACTATTTAGTAGAAGAAGATTAGGGGTTAGGTGAGTGCATTCATGATAGTGCATTGCAATTGCATTTTTTCTTTCAATTTTTTTATTTCTTTTTTTTTTAATTCTACTCAAAAATTAATTATTTTAAGATTAAATCATATCCTGAAACTTATAAAATTATATTACACTGACTAGACAGTGCCTAAATACTTTAAATATTACTATATACTACTTTATACTTTATACGGTAATCCCACGATATATACTATTTATAGCGTCGGTTATTATTCTGGAATGTTGCAGCAGTAAAAAACAGTAAAACCATGGCACCATGGCGTAGTCTAGCACGCGGTTCCGGAAACTTTGTGTATTCTCTTAAATATCTTAACCCTCACCAGGCCCCCCCCCCCCCATAGTTGACTGTTACAAAAGCGAGAACATTCTAATAAACAAATTTTTTAGATTAAGGTTTAGTTAATTTTATTAGGAAAAACAGTTTTGATACACCATACTAGAAATTTTACAAGTTTTACCAAGCCTTGCTTATTAATGATGTTATAGTTGTTCATTAAATAACTTTTAAATTACTATTTTTCAGAGGAAAAAAGTGCACAGTTTTTCTTGAGCAAGTGTCAAACCATTCATTAACTTCAACAATGGCCTGTTTACCAAATTCACTAAGAGCTATGACTCAGTCAACTAGCAAGAGACTGCTTTCACAGAGTACAAAATGTACCAGAAAAGGGATAACATACTCAAGATTACTTTTCTTCAATCACAGTTTACCACATTCACGCCCCTTTTGCGCAGCACAGCCAAGTTTACATCAAAAGATAACATTTGAAAATCAGCCACTGTCTTGGCTTTTTGTGAGTGACTCTGTTGCAGGGGCCTACGGTGCACAAGTTAATCTTGAACTGGATTTGGACAGAAGGCTCACTGAGGAGACTTATGTGAACTTGATGGTTAATAATGTCAACCTTAGAGAAATGGATATAGATGTCTATAAACTGGTGTGTTAATAACTTATTCGCTTGTTGAATTTATTATTTTATTGCCAGTTAAGGATGCTGCACATTTTTAAGGAGTAAAGGGGTGGTAGATGTTTTTCTTATATTGACTTATGCGGTTAAAGGGGTGTTGAGAAGCAATGTTATTTATCTACTACTACTACATTGATTTTTAAGAAATAAAAAGGTCAATACAAGTTGGCACAGTTATATTATTTGTAACAGCTTAAATACTGTTTCAGATGTAACAAGCAATTGTCTCTTATTCTTATAGTTTAAAATAAAACACTAAAATTTTCTAGTACTATACTTTACTCTGGCTTTTTACCTGGAGGGGGGTCTTAAATCTTTTTATAATTTAACTGTATATGTAGTCTTGAATGACATTACTCATTTTAAAAAAAAAATTAAAAATTGCCTGTTAGTATTAGAGATATTCTGAGAGTCAGTATCGCCATATAATACTTTGATGCTTAATGTTCGCAGGATGTTTAGTTTAAGGTAGAAGTATAATTACCAGTTTTACTATGTTAAATACCCCACCCATGAGTATCACACATCCTGAAAAAATTAATCTACCACTCCCCTACCAAATAACTACTAATTCTAATAAAAATGTACATAATTTTTTTGTCCTAAGAAAACCCATGTAAATTATTTTTGTTGTCTAGGACATTACCCCCCCCCCCCCCTCGCCAATAACCCCAGACATTACCCACCCTTCCCCATGTTGAAGAGCCCTGACCGTAACCCCATACCCTAACCACAAACATTTAGCTAACCCCAATTCTAAACCTACATCTAACCCTGAAACTAACCCCATCCCTAACTTATCCCTAACAGGTCAGGGGGGGGGGGTGTCCTGTTACTATTATTCTTAGACCTAACCAACTATACATTTTATCATTGTATTTAGTTTTCCATATCTTGTTTTATGAATGCTAACTTAAACATTGTGTTGTTTAGGCTGAAGATTTCAAACAGCTTAAACAAAAAGAAAAGGAGAAATCAGATTTAATTGCAGAGAAACAACGAGTGGCTGAAGAGTTACAAGCTTTGAAGAATAAGGTAATATTTAAAGTTTAAAAGAATGGATTTTTTTTTTCATTTTGGTTTTTATTACAACTAATGTTTTAATGTTGACTTTATATTTGTAGATTTTATAAGCACCATGTCTCAGGGTTTGATAAAAAGTAATACTATACATAAGTGAATTAATAAAAAATTATTCAAATTCTTTAAAAATATGGCACCTACAGGAAGGGTATGTGTTTTGTTGACTAGAATTTATTTTCATGGTCTTTTATTTTGTATATTTTCCTTTGGCATTTAAAAAAATTTATAGCAAGTGGTCAGTGTTTAATTTGTCCATCTGAAAATATGTATTTCAAATCTTCACAGGAATCAGATCCATCTACACAACCATTAATCCAGGAAGCTGTTCAAAAGTTATTTCAATTAAAACAAGCAATAGTTAATACACCGGTAAAATTATTTCTCTTCTTGTAGTATGATTCATAACCGCTTTGTTAATAAATTTTTACTTTTCTTATTGTTTTTACAAACTTTACTTTCATTATTAATTTTTCCCAAAAAAATAATTGTCAGTATTTTTGTTATAAAATTAACATCTATTAAAAAAACAACTAAAAAGTGGTTGAAATTTATTCTGACTGTTAGTTTCCATTGCTTATCACCCAGTTAACTAGCCAAATACAGACAAATGTATGTGATTTCTAATAAAATTGGCATTAAATAGTGTTGCCTTGATTATAAAAAAATGTATACTATCACTCACTAAAACATTAAAATATTCTGCCACAGCCATTTTGGGAGCTAGAAGAAAGTGTGATACTGAGGGCACTGAAGCTTCCAAATGACCTTCACCCAGATACTGTATGTAGACATTTATGTATTAGTTATTGAATAATAAGTACAAAATACAAACCCATTTCCCCAGCTGTGCAAGTTATCAAGTTAAAAAAAAATTCTCACATTTTATCAATGCAATACTTTTTTTTCCATAATTAATATCACATAGACACTAATATGGTCAATGTTATTTCAGAAACAATCAATACAAGTTGTATTTGTTACTGTGGTTTCCAGTCTAGTTATACTTTTATGTTATCTCTGTACAGTGGCTCATTGTCTGTATGTATGTTACATAAAGGTGTTGAAAATAACACTGTATGACTAATATTACTGTCTTCCACAACCCTGCTTTTATACCCCTTCATTATATTTGTTGCGACATGTTGAATCACAGCTAAAGAATTCTTGAAAGCTACAGTAATGAATTTTTTAAGATATAAAGCTGCATTTATTTGTTTTTGTAAAAATGGAAAAAGAGTTTCTCTGTCCTTTATTCTCAAGTCAATTGAAATTTTTTAAAAATCTCTACACATGAAAGAGAAAAAAATCACAAATGTTCATTATATTTTAATGAATTGATTTTAACAGCCCCACGGAGAATCAACAATTCTCAAAGAAAAAGCTGGTGTTTATAGTAAGAATGTTTTTTTACCTTATTTATTGATGTAGTGGTTAATATTTCTTTAGGTTAAAAATATATTTCATGCCAGAATTAAACATAGGATGTATATTATAAGTTAAAGATTCTTTACCTGTAGGTAAATTCTAAATTTTATGTTTGGGTATTATAGTTGCAATAGTTAGATTTTTCAAAGATTGAACATTTATTCTTTAAAACAACTCATCAAGTTTTAAACTTTTATTCATAGATGATGTACATAACAAGCTTAGCCATGTTGAAATTGGGAAAAAATTTGATCTCATAAAGTTCAGGTAAAAATATACTGATTCATTTCCATAACTCGGTAACACCTGTATTTGGAAAAAAAAAGCAACTTGCGTTACTGATAGACATTTTATTTTAGTGAATTTTTATATGGTAAATAATCCTCTTACGCCATCTAAAAATACTGCCAGTAGAGCTTTCGACTATTTTCACAAAAGTCTGGAGTTCAGATCTCAGTCCAGACTTGAGTCTGTAGGACTTCCCTGAGCTCACTCAGCTCTAATGGGCACCTGACCCATATTGGGGAAAGTAAAGATGACTGGGCATAGTACTGACCACACCATCCCTTCATATTCCAGGGTCAAGAAATATGTGAACTGCACTTCATTTCCCTAATAGATCTCTAGGTCTAAAGAGTAACTTATTTATTTATATTCATGAAATTGATCACATAAGCAACAAAACAAATAATAATTGTAAAATAGCTGCAGAAAGTAATATACACCATTTTATTTGCACTTAAACCTACTTGACTATTGTGTTACTACAGAAGATCCACAAGGCATTGCATTCTTTTAGTGAACATTACAAACAGCTGTTATGAAAATTTCACCGCTATATTATCGCAATGGGACGGCGTGGCCTTGGCAGTAGAGAGCTAGGCTGCTAACCCGGAAGTCTCGAGTTCGAATCCGGGTTAAAGTCAGTAGACCGTCCCTGAGTCCACCCAGCTCTGATGGGTACCTAACTCACGTTAGGGAAAACAAAGGTGGCTAGGCATAGTTTTGACCATACTATCCCTTCAAATGCTGAGGTTTCTGAAGCAGATGAACTCTACTTCACCTGCCCCTTGTGTCTTGGGCACAAACGGGAAAAGATGATGATGATGTTATTGAGGTTTAAAACTGGATAAAAAAAACTTCTCCACAAACTGCATTACTGTATAAACTATTTAAAGACGTACTTGATCTTAAACTTTTGTGTACCCTTTCAGCAATGTTGGGCCTAAAGCATATTACCTGAAGAAAGATCTAGCTGTTGCAGAGATGGAGCTCATCACTACTGTTGTGGAATACATGCAGGCTCAACATTTTTACTTTATTGCTGCCCCTGAATTTTTCAAGACACCAATTCTGGTAACTAAAATTATTTTGTCTTTCAACATCTAGTGCAGGGGTCTCCAAACTTTTCAGTCCGAGGGCCGCATTAACTATCAAATTTCAGTTTGGGGGCCAGTTTCTTCCAGGCGTGTCTTTGATTTTTTCCTGGCAAAGTTCCTCAGCTGTCACCAACAAACGATTTTTCCTTGGACAAAAAGATCTCAGCGGGCCGGATGAGAGGACTTTGAGGGCCGCATCCATCCCGCGGGCTGTAGTTTGGAGACCCCTGATCTAGTGTATAAAAGTAGAAATTATTTTGTTTTTATAAAATGTATTAGTGGTGGTAACTAGATTTTTTAAAGACTCCAATACTGGTAACTGGATAATATTTTGTTTCAAGACACTAGTACTTATAACTCGAAATCATTTTGTTGTTCCAAAAATCTAATAGTGGTGGTAACTAGACATTTTTTAAAGACACCATTGTGGGAAATTATTTTGCAATACTTTTATATTTTAAATAAACTTTTATGCTTTTGGACTTCAAAACAAGATAAGGAAAACAAATTATGAAAATTATATTTTAACGCAGAAACGCTGTTTAAAAAAATGTAATGAAGAAAGAGAAGATTTGTACTGCCTAGTTGATTAAATCACACTGAAACAATGTGATAATTTATTATCGGCCCTTGATGCAGTAATACTGATTTTTTAAATTTTGTTGATTTACATTCAAATGTAATTTTGTGTCTGTATGAAAAGCAAGAATCATACTTATCAAGTAGTAAATTTTTTACACCATAACTGTTCAAAAGTTAATCAAATTTTTTGTTTCCAGGGTACATGATTTAAAAAAATATTGTTTCAGGTATTTATTTATTTCTAATAACTTGTATACATCTTTTTGTTTTAGGAAGGATGTGGTCTGAACATCCATGATCCATCAGAGGTAATTTATTCTTATGACACCACCCCCCCCCCCCCCCCCCCCGCCTTTCATTTCCAACAATCTGTGTTTGCCATCCTTCAGAACTACTTAACAAATTGCCAATAATTTCAAATTTTTTGGTTGAAATAATTTCCCCAACTTAAACCGTGAAATATTTCCAAACATCGATCCATCTCATGAAAAAGCAAAACAACAAAATGTTGAATAAATATTGTATTTCCTTATCTTTTATCACAAAGGTTTTTACAATGATTGAAGCTAAAGAGAACATTGAGCCAATGATACACTTAACAGGGGTGTCACCAGCATCATTTATAGGTAATTTATACATCCCTGAAGAGGGCATACATTTCTATTCTTGTAGAATCAAATATTTTCAGTTTCTCATTTATTTTATTTATTAGACATTTAAAATTGTTGAAGCATAAACGCTTTTCATTGTTAATCAGGAATTCCAGTTAAAGATAAAATAAGATTAAGTGTAACTAGCACATTAAGCCATACGAGCCGACCCGCGGCATATCATACGCCACAATTTAGTTGTTTTATTTTCTACTTTTCAGTAATTTATAATTTGTGAATTCGACAGTACCAACGCTGCCACTGCTTTAAAACACTATCAGTAGCCCGTTAAGGATAATAACCCCCCTCCTTTCCCCTACTCCACCCCCTGTGAAAGTAAACTCATCTTAGTTACCTCCCCTAAGTTTAAAATCGTTTCAAACTAAATTAACTGCCCCTAATAGCCGGCACTAAACCCGGCTCTACGATTGTAAACATTTAGCGTGGACCACAGCTCACCAGGCTATGTGGGGGTGGTAGGGAGTGCTCTTGGTGTTTTCTATCGTCTCCAAGAAGAGAATTATATATATAGATATTGTTATAAAAGACATAGGAGAACCCTTAAAATCACAACCTATATTTTTTTACTGTTGTTATCTTGAATGAGTGTATTATTAGTTTTAAAATCATGTTAATTTTTATGAATGTTTTGACAAGAGATCTCCTTAAAATAATGTGTATTAATTCTTGTGGTAACAGACATTAATTTTTTCCAAAGTATATGTTGCAAATTTGTTTGTTTTTTCTAGGTTATGTAGCCAAAACTTGCATAGGGGATAAATCTATGCCTTTAAATATGTTTGCTTGTGGTCGAACATATCAAAATTGTAAGTACTCTGTGGCCTGTTGTATTTAATGATAATATAATAATATGATATACAGTGTAGTCAGGATTGATGCAACATTTTGTTTTATAATTCTTAATTCTCAACATTTTATAATGATGTTTTATTTTTTAACACTTTTTCATACATGAAAGTTTTTTATTTATTTTAATGGTTTAATAATATCCCTGAGTCCATCCAGCTGCGATGGGTACCTGACTAGAGTTAGGGAAAGTAAATATGGCTGGTCATAGTGCTGGCCACACTATCCCTTCATATGCAGAGGTCACAGAAAGTGAACCCTACTTCACCTGCCCCATGGACTGTCAGTTATGGAAGGGAGCTTTACTTTTACTCTTATAGGCCTAAGCCCCATTAATTTTTTTACAATTTATTTTACAGCACAGTAATGCCCTCATGTTTTATGGCTAGATTTGTTTACCTTATATTTTTTTGATGTACATTTTCCTATGCCCACACAGGCAACCTACCAGGATTGTATGGTGCTGTACAGTCAAACCAGGTAAATTCAAATGTAAAAAGACCTAAATGACTGGTCTGTTTCTTACACAATGTCTGATAATACTACCATATTACTAAAATAAAATGTAGGGGATGGCTTGACCTAAGCGGTAGAGCGCTAGGCTGCTAACCCGAAAGTCTGTAGTTCAAATCTGAGTCCAAGTCAGTAGAACTTCACCTGAGTCCACCCAGCTATGATGGGTACCTAACTCATGTTAGGGAAAGTAAAAGCAGCTGGGCAAAGTACTGACCACACCTTCCCTTCATGTGCAGAGGTCATGAAACATATGAACTCTCCTTCATCTGCCCAATGGTTCGCTAGGTCTAAAGAGGATTCTTTACTGTTTAAAATAAAACTAATCTTTTCTTTGGTGCCCTATTTGTCAGAATATTTAGTGTCAGTAAATATTAAGTGTTGATTAATTGTCATTTATTGTGCTAATTTAGTAAACTAAAATTTTGTTTATTTTTGTAGGATTTTAGCTCCATGTTAAAAAACTTTAATTTTGTAGTAATCATCCATCGCACTGTAGACAAACTTAAATTAGCCAGCAAATATACTGTAAACATCACAAAGGTGTGACAAATGCCATCATCCTTTGAGACTCTAGAAACAATTTTTTACCTTACAATTTTCTTTCTGTTAAGAAAAAGCAGTACTAAATTTTAAAGTATTTACCGTTTGTACATTGATATAAATCAAACCATTTCAAAATAAGAGTCACAATATTCTGGAGAGCTGTTTTGCAAGCTTTTTAATATTTACACAGGTGGGGCTGTTCTCATGTGTTAAAGAAGAAGATGTGAATCGTCAAATGGTTAAGTTAACAAACTTGATATGGACGTTTTTGGAAGGCTTTGGATTTCCGTTGAGGTAATCTCATAGCTTTTAATGAAGATTAATGATAAACAGGATAACCACAATCTCAAACCTATGGGAGTTATGTAGATAATCGCCAGTTGTGACCAGTACAGAAATACTCCAAAAGAATGGGAGGTGGGTAGGAAAGGCCGGCAATAACATCTCAAGGAAAATTCTGAAATGAAGGGAAAGGGGGGGGGGGGGGAGGAAGAAAGATTGATGGTCTAGAACTAGAATAGAAATTTTAGATGCAGATTAGAGAGGCTAAGTTGGCATGATCTTGGCTGAAGAAAATAGCTACCAAACAAGTTTTTTGGTAATGTGAGATCTCTGCTCTATGTTTATTTGGCCTTGGCATAAGGTACAATGTCTAGCCACATTTACAAGATGAGACAATGGGTATACTATGTGATTATGTGATAACCATTTACAAGTTTGACTTAGATAAATTGACTGATAGATTGAATAGGATATAGAGTGTATGTAATTTTTTTTTCCGATGCAATTACAGAATGTGTCAGGCGAATGCCAAAAATTTAAAAGTTTCCGAGAGTAGGCGGGTGGACTTTGAGGTATATGCTCCAGGTATCCAGCAGTATGTCACTGTGAGTAAATACATTCTTTTATAAACTTGGCTTACCTCCCTGTTAAAATACAAAATTTCTGCTTTGGTTTATCTCCCCTGTTAAAAAAAGTAAAATTTTTTAATTTTTCTGTTTAATTCATAATTTTTTTAAGTTATCCACTTTAAAGAAGTCACAACAGTATAGTTTTAAATTGTGTATTTTATTTCAGCTCCTTAGCTGTGTTTTTTGTTTCTTTTTAAACAAAATTTTCGTAATTAATATTGAAAAGAGCTTTAATTTATTTAACCAGGTTGCAAGTGTGGCTGACCTAGGAGATTATGTCAGCAGGAGGTTGATGGTCACACATAACCTCAATCATTCAGATATACGAAGTAGCAAAATTGTACACATGGTAATCTATTACCTAGCACATCTTTCACAAAGATTTAAAATATTCGCACACATTTGAAAGCTGTCTACTTTTTTTCTTGTCTTTTTATGGTTAAATTGTCAAAAAACCCATTGAAAATAAAAATGTCATCAGTTTATAGATAAAGTTTATTCAGCCTACATTGTTACCTGTCATTGAGAAAAAACTTAGAATAGATTAATCGCTGGATCTTATAAATACCGTAATAATAAAATGTTTAAATTATTTTATTCACAAGCTCTCGGGGGTTGCCTTGAATATCACATCATTATTAGCTGTATGGACTGAGCACAGCAACAGTTCTCAGGTTTGGTACCAACTTTTTATATAGGCCTATATGTACATCTTTTTGCCCTAAAAGTTATAGTTTTCAAGTTTAAAAATAGTCTATTTATTAAAGAAAGTCAAACTGGTTAAGCACTAATTTCTGTTTTTGTGTCCAACAGTTAGGAAAGCACTTGGATTGTGTAATATTTTTACTTGAGCAATTTTTTTTAATTTGCAGGAAACATTTTCTCTATGTCCATTACCTCCTGGACAGAAGATTAAAACAGAAAAAGATCAATAAAAATATTTTCTTTATTGAAATGACTTCTCTGTTGTTGTGTTGGCTTTTTTTTTTACAAGGTAATCATTCATAAATCAGTGACAATAATATACAAAAAAAAAAAAAAAATGACATGGAAAAATCATTGCTGTGCTGCCTCTGCTATTGGGTTTGCATGTATTGTGATTTCTCGTAACCTTGTTTCTGTTAGTGGTTTATACCCCTTTTCACTGACAGGGAGTTTTTCCAATGTGTCTAAAGTATCAAACCCATCAATTACTCTGAAACAAATAATATATCAATTTTTAAAAACAATAACTTTATAAAATATCTGACAGTTTTGCATCTGCAGTATGTCATATCTATTTGCAAGTTCTCTATTAAAGAGCTTTGATTTAACTTCTAATTGAGTTCAATAAGCAAACACCAGACCACCACTCAATCTAAAATTATTTAATAATGCCACCTTCTTAAGTAGTGTACCTTATGCCTTCTATATTATTATCAATAACTATATTTATCTATAACTATAAATAATTTTGACAAATACAACTCAATTATTTTCAACTAATATAGTTTTATCCGCCAAAATATTATGTTCAAAGCAAACAGGTCATTTCTTAACTTACCTTCCGAAAACAGTATACTTCATATCTAAGTGAGGCTGTTTGTTGTATGTGATAAAAAACTGGGAAGCATTTGTGTCAGGTCCATTATTAGCCATGGAAACCATCCCCCTTGTGCTATGCTGAGAGTAAAAACATTTCAAAACTAATTTATTGTGTGCTCCTAATTTACCGTTTAACCAGAGAAAACGTGAAATTAAAACACATATCCTAATCATGTTAATAACTCTCAACTATATTATAATTTACATGCAATGACACATTTTTATGCCTCTCCAGTGATTAGACCAGATTTATAATAATTACTAGGTGAGCAAAAAAATACAAATGTACACAGTGATGTATAGATATTTGCTAAATATTACCTTTAAATTTTCTCTGAATTCATCTTCAAATTTTGCACCCCAAATACTTTTACCCCCTTTTCCTGTACCTGGAAAATGATTACTCAGTTAAAACAATTGTAATTGTTACAAATCTTCAATTTCACATTACAAAATGTAGATAACTTTTATTTCAGTGGGTTTCTGTATATATTATATGTATACTAAATGATAATGTTAATTACAAGTCTCTGTTTAACTGTTAAAATTTTTCTGTCAATGTGAATCACCAAGTTGTCTTTCTATTTTAAAAATCTCAGCGTTTTATTTGATCAAATTCCCCTTACCTGTGGGATCACCTGTTTGAATCATAAATCCTGCTATATTTCGATGAAATAAACTATCATTGTAATAGCCACTTGCACACAGGGCTAAAAAGTTCTGCAATAAAAATTACAGAACCATTCATTTATCAATTTATGAGATTTGCATGGGGAAAGTGTGATTCAGAAAAGATGGAGTTTGTGGATGGCTATGTGTGATTTATGTGATTAGCATGTTAAATTAACATATCTTAATAACATAATATTACAAAATTTATTTTTCCCTGAGTGTTTACAACATGTGTAGGTTTAAACAGTAATAAACAGTAACAACTGATTTAAAAAAACAAAAACTTAATAGGTAATAGAATCACAATTATTTTAAAATTAAGCAGCACCTCTTCATGGTAAACAAGAGATAAGGAATTGAAAAAGGAAATTTGACCAAATGTAGTCGTAAGGCAAATTATAATCCATCATACCACTACAGAAAATATTACATTCTTTTTTCTTAAATTAATTTATCTAGTTCATCCTTATTTGGAAGGGGGAGAATATGGTCACCCCATTTTCTCATGTCAACATGATAGCCATGTTGTACACTTGAACTTAATTTTTATCAACTCTTGATGCTTTTTTTCTGTGAAAATAAAGCCCAATATATAAGTGGTTAGATGCTTAATTTTGTTTACTGCCTCATATTTAATGCTTCATGTTTAATAACTAGAATAGCTGTAAAAACCTTGTTTAGATTTTTTATTCATAGTGAAATTTAGCTAAACTTACTTCACATGTGATGGGGCACTGTTCACAAAAAAGTTCAATCTTTAGATCTCCAACGTCTGTATGTAATGTAACAGCCTATTAAAGAAAGTTAAGTTACATTCTCTCTTAATTGAGTCTTAATCTGCTAGTTTTTTTACTGTTAAAACTGACAGAAACAAATCAAAATTATAAAGCCTATTATTCATTTATTGAAACAAGGAAAACAATTGTTTTATCAAGTTCTAGGCTTATTAATAATTATTTTACATAAGATAGAAATATAAATTTGGTATCAGTAGAAGAAAGCAGGGATTCTCTGCTAGCTAACTCATAGGTTTCAGTTTCAGGGTAAAATACTTTAAAAAAATTAAATTTTGTATGCTACTTCCTAGCGTAGTAGAGTAGATCTAGCTTAAATAACTGAGAAAAAAATTTATTATTTTATGCTAGAGAATCATCATCATGGTGATTTTTTTAAAAACAAAAAGTAGTAAAGTAGGCTGAAACTACATTACTAAAGCCTAGTACACAGTACGGCTAGTAGAATCTAGTAAAGCGGCGGGGGAGTAAAGCCTTATAAATAAATTGCGCTATAATTAGGTATTCAAAATGAAATTTTTATAATGAAATTAAATAAAATTTAACACTTCCACCTGATAGAGACTGTTTTCATCAGAACAGAAACACCAAATTTATTGATGTATGTCCATTTTTAAAAAAGTTATGAATTTTTTAAAACTCAAAAAATGCGTTCGCTTTTTGAACAGTAAAGGGTCTATTTGAGACCCCTACTAACTTCTACAATAACTAAGTTAGAACTCTCAAATTTCTTGCACACACAGCCAGTAATACAAATAGCAAACCCAATTTTTTTCAAGGTAGTCAGACAGATATAAATAGAAAATTTATTCACATAAAAATGAGCCAAAGCACAATTTTACCGAAGTACAAAAAGGGAGACAAAAAGTTAATTTACAGTCATTTTTAAAAAATCATAGAAAATAAACTAATTAAGCCACATTAATAATATAAATGTTCTAAGAAAGGAAATTCAAACCATGTTAATATAAAATAAGCAGGTAAAGAATTAATAAAGAAAGTAATTAGCGAGACCAGATTCAGCAAGGTCAGTTTATAAAAATTAGAAATTTCATCCTTTTTAAAAAAATTATTAAAAAATATTTAAGTAAGGTATCTTAATAAATTTTACATTAACTTAAAGCACATGATGTTCTTAATATATAATAAACACAGAGACATAAAATAATCATTCTGCAAAACAATACAAGGCATCCTTCCTTAACGCCCAAAATCAAGAATTTTCATTACCTAACATCTTGCAAAAAGTGTTCTTACTTTTAAGAAAGTAATATAAATTGTGTAGGAAACATGTTAGCATTACTTTGTTATAAAAAACTAAATAACTATACTACTTCTTTACTTATATACTATAATAAAAAGAAATTCCATGCATTTTAAAAACTGACGAAGTAAGATAACTAATTAAACTGAAATTCTTTTTAAATTACCCTAATAGAGTTGTGATGTTTATCTAGTTTTGTTACTCTGGTTCCTAATCGTGACTTGTTCAGCATAAATTTACTTGTTACTAGTATATTTATTTCTTCTAGTTAGTTATTGATCAAAGTCAACTTCTGGAAATGTCTAGGTCCTAACTTATACAATTATCAGAAATCTTAGAGCAGGTTCAAAAAGACAGGTCAATATCCTGATTGGGAAAGTTCTCTATGATGTTGGGTAGCATTGTAATTAATAGTCAATATCCTGGTTGAGTTTGTCTTCTTCAAGGTTACAGATCAAATTATGGAATCTAGTAAGGGATCCTTCCATTGGTCCAGAGTATAGAAAATGTCTGTGAATAAAAACAATTAATTAGCATTTCAAATATACTGACTTATATAGCAGGCCTGTATATCTTTATACCAACTTAGATATCAATCATGTAACATTACATCATAAATAATAGGCCTAAGCAAAGTGCATACAATACTAATATTTGACATATGGTTTCCTTCAAAAGTATTCAGGAGTCCTGTTGTTGCTTTCACAACAATACAAAATTTTTGGTAGGCCAATGAGTTTCCCCTTTCTTTTATGCTAATATCTTGCTCTGTAAATAGAATAATAATAATATTAAAAGTAAGGCTGCTCAATGCTTTTTAGATATTAAATGTAAGCACTTTAGATAGTTCTACTACTAGATCTAAATATTAACATGAAAGCAATAGTGAATCTAACTAATCTAAGTAGATCTAGACTAAATCTAGAAACAACTTTGGACTAAACTATTATGGAAGGGGGGCTACATTTTATTTTAAGTCGTCTTTACAATAAATCTAGAGATAAAAAATGTAAAAGATCGTAATATTCTAAAATTTAATGTAACTACTGCACATATATAGAATAGTTAACTATGAAACTAGGAAAGACAAAAAAAAACAATGCTACAATAAATTGAAAGTATGCTGTTAACCGCTGCGGTAATATAATAGTTGAACCCAACACTACGAGAAAGTAAAAAAAAACATGGCGGACAATCGGCTTGAAATATCGACAAAATATTGATAGTTTAATCGGCCGATGTTATTAACTAACATAATTTACTAAAACAAATTAAATTCTATCATCCTTTTAAACATCTTTTTGATTTAACTGTGCATTCCTTTTTTATTTCAGTGACCATAAATTAAATACAACTGACTTTTAAAAAAGGCTAGATAATTTTTTGGAAATTTTTTTTTTAAGCGTGGAGCAATTACCGATAAGCGGACACTAATATTCAAATGTATTAAAGCGGCAGTTAATCATAAATAAATAAAATATAGCTAGTAATATAATGTGCATTCAACTTACCTGCACGTGCTTTTAAATCCACTGTAATCAACGAATAAACACAAAATCTTGCTCTGAACCGAGGTCGGGTGTTCCGGAATTCAACAAAATCTTGACTCAGGCCGGCGAAATTTAGAAGCGGGTCGTCGCGATTTGTATACATTGGTTTCATTTACTGCGGTCCGACCCCATACATGGAGTGTTCATTAAATCGTAACAGGTTTATGGCAAATTGGATGCCCTTTCGGAATATACAACTTTGGCGGCTGTAAAATTATTTTTTCATGGAAAAAAATCATTTTAAAATTTTAAATTGAACATTTTTAGCATTTAATTATATTATACAGCTGGTAAAGTTATACCATCTTACAGAGCTACCATTCTTCTTTCTAAATCAGTGGTTTCTAGTTGCGTATGTGTTATGGGGTCGGACCGCCGCGCGATGCCGCAACGCGACCAAAATTTTTTAAAACCGGCTTAAATTTTTCGGCTCATTTAGAATACCTACTATAATGTAACAATGACGTTATAATCCAGTAGGCCCTATAAAAAAGAGACCTACCATTTTTTTAAGTAATTTTACACCAAATATTGATAACGTTTTCTAGATTTAGAATCTATTTCATAATTTCAACACAGTCAAAGGCTAAGGATACCAGCAAAGTTTTTTTTAAAATTTGAATAAGAGTAGTATCCCCTGATAACAATTCAAAAAATATGACGGGTTTATCACAGGTAAAATTACTCCTTTATTATTGATTTATTAAAGGAAACAAAATACTTACTTCATGAAATTGAAATACCGATTAAACACACTTAATTTAACCAGACTCACCATCTAAACCACACAAACCATCAAGTAATCTGCTACTAACCTGTCATGCAAGCAATAAAAAATTCAAACAATTAACATCTAGATTTCGTCAAAACTAATTTACATAGCTCAAAAGGATAGAATAAACATTACTCGTTTCGAAGGTGTACTAGAAACACTCTTTGATATGCTAAGTTGAGCTTGATATTCTCCCTTTCATTGCTGCCCAAAATACATTTTACCATTCTAATAAAACTGTAGGACTAAGTAAACTAGAATTCCGATTGTGAATAAGAAGGGGAAACAACCAGTATTATTTACCAGGATCGTGCAATATCACTGTACACTCCCTTTATCAACAAGATAAAAAGGGAAAGAACTGTGCAAGAGAAAGTAAATAATACATAATTTTGGTTGTGTCCCTCTAACAACTTTCACCATCTTATACTGGCTAACAGCTAACTGTTTTATCAATGAAAATGAAATTAGTTTAATAAAAATTAAAAATTCTGTCGTTGTGTGTTCAATTAATTTTTTTTATAAATATATGTAATTGCAGCATCGAAAGTCAAGACTAATGTATTTTTTTTTTACTGATATTGGGAAACATTGTAATAATGAGACCATTTCTGATTTTTGGCTTTTTAAATTCAATGTTTAAAAGTGTAGAACAGGCATACAAAATACAATTCTTGAAATCTGAAAAATGGTTCTTTCCATTCCCCATAACTCTTCTTGTCTTTTTCCTAAGTTATTCCCCTTCTACTGCCCTCAGTACTTAATTTAATTATTACTTATATCAGCACATCTACAATGAATGTCGCATTTTTATAAAAAGTATTATTTAATTAAGGATAAATCAATTTTTTAATCTATTAAAAAGCATGATATAATTTGTAAACGACCCTTGAATCTCCCTGTGTTAGCCTTCTACCCTTTCGTTCTAAATTGATTGTGGGGGGAGGGGGGGGGGGGTGAAATCAAACAAAAATAAATCTAAAAAGGCAGTTCATTGCTCCATTCAACCACCCTACGCCTTACATCACAATACAACAAAATGACCAACCACCCTACGCCTTACATCATAATACAACAAAATGGACCAACCACCCTACGCCTTACATCACAATACAACAAAATATTTATTTTTCCCACCCATGTTAGCGCTCCCTAAGGTCGGCGCCCGGGGACATATGTCCCCGCCCTCACCCCTCGCTACGCTACTGGGCCTATATATACGTTACATATATTGGCTCATATATAATTATATGTGTGTGTATGTGTGTGTGTGCAAGTCTCGCGTAAGAAATAGCTAATAAAATTATTAATATCAAGGTCACAGTAGGCTTAGCCCAATTATCAGCAAAATGAGCAATCTGTGAAATAGAACGCTTCATTAATTTTTTTTTTTTTTTTTAAATTGCAGCGGTTAAAATTGTGTAAGTTGGTGGAGGGTGTAGCAATAAAGATCTTTTTTAGCCCTATCAAATGCATATGTAATGTTTTGTGCAACGTAAGCTAGGCGCAAAGCTGACCTTATACACATTCTACGTTGCCTAGCGGTAGAGAGCTAGCCTGTTAACCCGAGAATCTTGAGTTCGAATCCGGGGTCAAATAAGTAGAACCTCCCTGAGTCCACCCAGCTCTGATGCGTACCTAACACACGTTAGGGAAACAAAGGCGGCAGTGCATAGTGCTGACCACACTGTTACATTAACTACAGACATAATGTAACACACACAATCCTTCATATGCCGAGGTCTCTGAAGAAGATAAACTCTACTTCATCTTCCCCATGTGTCTTGTGCACGAACGGGAAATGATTATGATGGTGACGTTGACAGGTTGTTGAGGTGTTTTCTGAAAGAAAAAACTCGGATACATTTTTTTTAAATTAAAATTTGCCTTCTCCAAATTGTTCCCTATCTACACATTTTAATAATAATTAAATTATGCGGGAAAGTAGAAAGTTTTTTTTTTCTTTAATTTTGTTCACTTTATGACTGTAGAGTTACCAATTTCTCACGCTACTGTCAAGGGACGTAAGCAAACATCCGCTGGCTGCGCCAACTCGTATGCGCTGAAAAATCCCAAGAGAGCGCACGGCTTCAGCCACCAAACACACCTCAAACATGTCCGAAACACACACTCTTCAAACACTGGCGACAAGCTGCAAAAACCAAACAAACAAACTCAGCACACAAGATTTTTTGACTGACTTTTTTTGTCTAAGCGCCATAACTCTTAAAGAAAGGATTGTTTGAACACTACAAAATTGGAGTGGAAAAAATCTTCAATTTCCTCTCACAAAAAATTGTGTCCCTTTACTCAGTATCTGCATTATCTCCCATCTAGGTGCACTTGGTTAAAAGCTGTAATACAGTACAAGAAATTTCAACGTTAAAAGCCCCAGCCAGTGGCGTCACTATGCCGGGTGTCGCGAGCTGTAGTAATTCATGGTGTCTCCCACCACCCCTTTGTTTCTTTCAGTTTTTTCTCCGGGGGGGGGGGGGGGGGGGCGGCGGTGTAATTGAAATTTTCGGAGGAAGGGGGCGGATTAATTAAATTTTTGAGTGGGGGCGGACCATGGGTAAAAGTATATTTTTTATATATAAGTATATATTTATATATATTTTTTTATATAAATTATATTTCGTTCGGGGGGTGGTAGACGTTCTTCAGCCCCCCCCCCCCCCCCAACACACATTTACCTGAAAGAAGATATACCTGAAAGTATGAGCGGAAATGCGCAACGGAAAGATGCGCTAAGGGAAATTGTGCGAAAAAAATACGCGAGGGGATTTTTGTTTTCTAAAAATCGAGCATTTCTAGACGTGAACAAAGAATGACTACATATATATTGTTGCATCATAAAACATATTTCCCCGAAACAATTGATTTTCGCAAATTACCTGTAGGGCTTTTATTGTTTACCTTTATAAATGTATGCATTTTTAAAGTATCGAGCACTTTTCGGCTCCCTCATGCACATATGTAATCGTACCTGACAATGCAACACGTTGCTGTCAAAGTCGGCTGCAAACTTCAGTGAAAATGTGCATGATCTGGAAGTCGGGAGGGGTCGGCGAGGTCGGGCCGGTATAGCTTATGGGTTTTTTATGGCTGGTTTTTAAATGTCCTGAGTTCAAACCCTCGAACATATTAGGCTCGATAGTTGGGAACGTGGTGGGTTGCTTTAAAAATAAAAACAACTGCTGTCTTGTAATTTGTTCTTAGATGGACAAAGGCACTGGAAGCAAATCCAGAGAGAAAAACAGGCTGAAATGGGGAGTCAACGGGTCATCTGCTGCATAACATTAACATGTTGACACGTATTCTGGAAGTATTTTTTTTTTCAAAACAGATAGGCCTTCAAGAAATGAAGTTTTGACTTACGGTTTTTGAAATTAGAAATGAAAAACTGTAATAAAGGTGGTAGAAGCAGATTTAGGCTTGTATTTTAAGATTTGGTTCAGAGTGGGTTTTTTCACACATCCCCCCCCCCCCCACCTCGGGACGAACGAAATATGATGTCCGTTACCCGGAAAATTTAGTCCGTCACACTCCTCCCTGAGAGAAATAAAAGTCTGAAAGAAACACAGTGCGCATATAGAATATGGATCTATAATGTAAAATGTAATTACCGACGAAGAATTTTCAGTATGAAATTATTATATAGGACTGTAAGAAAACACATTTAAAAAATAGGCCCTAGACCAGGGGTTCCCATCCCCGTGCCCGCGGGCGCCATGGCGCCCGCCGAACGATTCGTATGTGCCCGCCTCTCACTATTCGATAGAGACAGAATTTTTTTCATAAACATTATTGAAAGGTTGAAGGGGATGGAAATCGAAAGTTTGAGGGGGGGGGGGGATGCAAATCGAAAATTTGAGGGGGCGGGGTGCAAATCGAAAGTTTGAGATGGGGGGTGCAAATCGAAAGTTTTGTCCCCGGGTGACGGGAAGGGTCGCTACGCCTCTGGAAGGAGTTTGTCGATTTAAAATAGGTAGTGCCCGCCACCCTACCGATATTTTAGAATGTGCTCTAGAGTAAAAAAAAGGTTGGGAACCCCTGCCCTAGACGAACAATAAAAGCATATATAAAAATCAAGGCACTATGCATTGGAATTTTTTCAAGAGCAATGCGACCTGGATCCTCTTCCACTGCGGTTTTATAATAGGTAGACTACAAGTACAATGATTTTAAAATAAAATGACTTATAAACAGCTGTTGGTATAATCACGAGGACCCTATCTATCGTCGTAGCCCTTGACCTCTTTATCGGTTTATTATCACCCGTGTGAAATGCTGTGCATGGGGGGGGGGGGGGGGGGCGCCGCGGGTCGTCTATAAATAACGACTGAAACATCTCACTCTCCCATCGTCACAAAAAGCAAGCCCTCCCCCCCCTCCACACTCTTCTATAAAATGAGTCACAATTCTGCTACCCCCCCCCCCCCCCCACCACCTTCCAATAATTATAATTCGAACGAAAATAAGTGTTTTTCACCTTTAAAATGCAAAAATAAATCTCACATCATACCAACCATTAAATAGTTTCAACTTCGTAAAGTGTATGACGTATTTATGTAGCATACATACATCCCTTATAGTAGACCTACTGCAGTGTTTCTTCCAGACTGTTCTCTCCGGGTGTGGGGGCACTTGATAAAACCTGGTAAAAGTATATTTTTTCTATATAAATTCCATTTGGTTCCGGGGGGGGGGGGGGTAGACTTTCTTCGGAGTGGGGTGGGGGTGGGAGGGACGGATGCCTGGAAGAAACTCTGGCCTACTGTTTAAATTAAAAAAAAAAAAAGACTATTTGGTTTTACGGACTTATTTAATGTGAATTGTGTGACACCACTATAATAAACGTGAATAGTTAAAAAGCGTCCCGACCTTTTTAAATGGTGGGGGGGGGGGGGGGGGCGCTTATTCACACCAGAGGCGTAGCGACCCTTCCCGGCGCCCGGGAACAAACTTTCGATTCGCACCCCCCTCGAACTTTTCATTTGCACCCGCCCCTCAAACTTTCGATTTGCACCACCCCCTCAAACTTTTCATTTGCACCCCCCCCCTCAAACTTTCGATTTGCACCCACCCCCCTCAAACTTTCAATTTGGCGCCCCCCTAAGGTCGGCGCCCGGGGACATATGTCTCCCGCCCCCTCGCTACGCCTCTGATTCACACATGTGAATAACGGTATAACCATATAAAACTGGGGGTGAGGTAGCAAAAATCGAAAATTCGCCCCGGGGTCGGTCGCTACGCCTCTGGTGTGGTGACATAGTGACCCACAGAGCTTACCTTGCCGGTTTACGCCCGTCCTAGCGACGCCACTTCTTTTAACTAAAATTGATTAATTTAATCCCAGAAGCTCAGCAGTTTAACAGTCAAAGATTATTTAATATGTTAAAAAAAGGAGCTAAAATAAAGTAAAATTTTAGACCTACTAAACATTGGGATTTTCATTTTTGTTCTTTAAAATTTCTTTAGATCTTCACACTAGATGATAGGCCTACTTTTATGCCTGAAGCTATTTTATTTAATGAAATAACAAGATAGATTTACATTGTAGGTCTATTTTTGAAAGCTAGTTTTAATTTTTGTGTGTGTTGAGAAATAGGCTTCTTGTTTTCGCGTGGGCTACCGCCCCTCCACAACACCCGGAACATGGATTTTTTAGCCCAGGGCTTGGTCACGTGATTACACAAGCGAGCAACACCACGTTGTGATTTACTTGAAACTCATGCGTGGGCCTTACTTGCTTCCGGGGATTCACTAGCAGGTAGTGACAAGTCAACTAAAAGCATGGTCTGAAAAAATACAAACATAGGATACCGGTAAGTTTTAGTCCAAGAATTAACCAATAGAATGTTTTGTTATCTAGATCTAATTTTTTTTTCTTTTTACTCTCACTTTTCGTTTTTCCGTGTCGTAGACAATAAAAAAGTAAACAAACATTAAACAATTTGTCTATTATTTAAATTTAACCCACATCGCGAAAACAAAACTAGGATTCGCCATGTGCCTGAACTGAGACCTAACTACACAGTCAGCCACCTAGATTCTAGAGCTAGAAATCTAGATCTAATCTAGATCTACCAGATAAGAATCAAGTCTATTCAGTCATATCTAGAATCAGCTACACAATATGTTTATAATGATAAAGATGAATGATAGATCTAGAATCTAGTCTAGGAACGATAATTCAATTGTAATTTCATATTGGGAATTTCTCTTATTTGAAGAGAACCAGACTAGGCCTGCCATAAAAATAATTTGGCCTAGATTCTATTCTTAACTAACTACACTTAAATTTAATCTAGTCTAGAGTCTAATTCTAGTAAGCCAAGCAGCTATCAAAAAATGGGAAACTGAGATAATAATCTATTATTAGAGTTCAGATGCAAAAAATTAATAAGGGCCTACAAAATTAATTTATTAATTGGCGTGAGGGTGTATTATAGAAATGTGAGAAGCCACACTGGCCTGTTTTTAATGGGAGTGGCTATCTTAAGATCTGTTTTACTAGGCTCACGTTGTTGGTAGGGCATTGCATCATCGTATCAAAACATTTATCAACCATGTGTTGAGCCCCTAGGAACCTAGTTTGTGTGTTTATTATGTCTGCCAGTGAGCCTAGATGTACCCACACTGCTGTGTCTTAAATAGAAATCTTAATATTTTTTTAGATTAGGCCTAGAGATCAAAATTTAGGCCTATGAGTATATGATGATAGTGACAGCTTATTAATTATTAATTAATTACCTAATAAATAATATAGTATAGCCTAGAATGTAGATTTAATTGGCACTAATGTAACTAAATGCTAGGCCTACACATTTTAAAATATGTTACAGTAAGTCTTACATAATTTGTTTACAATTTATGGTTTTGCTATATCATATCATATTTTGTTTATAGGCCTAAATCTACTATTAATTTATAAAATGTTAAAATTTATCATTGTAACGTCTTATCTAAAGAAACCCAGTTTACCATTGTTTACTTGTAATTATTTTTCTTTCCGATTTTAACAATTTATCTTGTTTTTGCTTTACAGGTATCTTTGTTGTTGTTGCTAGATCTAGATAAGGCTAACTAGCCTTTAAGTCCCTTGTGGAAAACATCCTGTCTCAAGTCTTATTAACTTGAACGAGGGCCACTCAAAACATACTTAAAGATTAGGTACCAACTTATTTCTTTAGAGGATTAAATAAATCTTTTCACAGTCAAAATGGAGGACCCTATGCCAAAAGAATCGTCGGCTAAGAAGTTAGACTTGGAAAAAGAACCCATGGTTGAGAAACTGGAAATCGAAGGCGCCAAAGAAGAAGGCATCGTTCTCAAGCAGAATCTATCTCTCATCAATGGAATAACAGTCATTGTCGGCAGCATCATCGGCTCAGGCATTTTCGTCAGTCCTAAAGGAGTCCTTAAAGGATCAGGCAGCGTTGGGATGTCCCTAATTGTTTGGCTCTTGTCGGGAGTCTACTCAATGATTGGAGCCTTCTGCTACTGTGAGCTTGGCACTTCGATTGTGCGCTCTGGTGCAGATTACGCTTACATCTATGAAGCTTTCGGCCCGTTTTTGGCTTTTCTCAGACTTTGGGTTGAGTGTATGATTGTCCGTCCATGCTCCCAGGCTATAGTCGCTCTCACGTTTGCGTATTACGTGATTGAGCCGCTGTTTCCTGACTGTGACCAACCAGAGGTACCTGTCAGACTGCTAGCCGTCGTCTGCATATGTAAGTATTTTATCACATTCTTCAAGCGCAGCTTAAATGTCACCCTCAATTAACCTTTTTAATGTTAATTAGTTTACACAATCAAGGTATGTATGGGTTTACCTGTTGTGTGTTACTGCTGTGAAAAGAGAATTGTCAGCTGTACATAAATCATGAGGAGGCTGTAGGGGATTTGAACATTTTTCTGTTTTATAAAATAGTACATATATATGAAAATACTTGTATAACTTCATTTTGTCGTCAGATACCTAGTTTGATGATGTTTGTGTATCTCTCCTATCACCATCATCTGAAGTAACATTAACTCTTAGTTGCAAACAGTAACAATATAATATTACTATATGTAACAATAATATATAGGCCAAATATAATATTACTGTTTGCATGAACCTCACTGCCACTTACCATTTTTAGTTCTCTTTGTAGCAAAATAGTTTTTGCCATGGACTGGTTTCTCATTGAAAGCTTAGGCCCATGAGGTTATTATTACAGTACCACCTATAAACATTTGGGTAAAAAAATACTTATTTATCGGAGGGGGGGAGTAGGTGTGTATTAGGTTTTTTGTCTTTTCAAGGGTGAAGTTTGTTTTTATAGGATTTCAGGGAACGCCCACGCGCAGGTTTATAAACTGTGCTATATCTGGTAAAAAAAATTTCAGAACAACAATTTTAAATTTCATATTAAATATCTAGTTCAAAATTAAATTTTGGAAAACTGATTCATAAACATAACATTTTTCTCCTAAGAAAAAATTAAAAATTAATTTAAAAATTGTATTTTCCCTGTGGGCCTCCTCATATTTTATTTGAGACCTATTGATCACAAAGGTTTTACATTCATTAATTAATAGGCTTAGTAGTATTAATAAAGCGGATATTTTTTACTTTGGTGATGGACTTGTAGTCTGTTGTATGGTAATTATTCTTACACAAGGTTCACATGTCAGTTTTGATGGGTATATATAATTGACTTAATTGGTTTACCTTGCGTACAATACCATCTGTTATACCATATGGTGGATGTCCCTAATGTAGATGGCGTTCACACATACATTTATGAAAGTGAAGCAGTTTTACTTTAGTATAAAGTTTTTTTTGCCAGTTCTCAGAGAGAATTAAATAATTATTTTATGCTGACACTACGTTTTAATTTGTTTCACTAAGTAAATAAAACTCTGTGGGCCTAATTGTTAATGTGCATCTCCTAAGTGTACACCTGTAGTAATAGGATTACTGAACTAACACACTGCACCTGTACAAAAAATATTAGGCTATCTGAAATGTTATATTTTTCATGACACCCTTTACCATTCAGGAGTCATCCGTAATCGCTATTTATACTATTAACACCACATAATATAAAATTAAGAATGGGAAGATAAAGGTCGATATTAACACCACAAAATATAAAATTGAGAATGGGAAGAAAAGGTCGATAAATTAAAAAAAAATGTTAATTTAAAACAGCAGGTAACTTTTATTCGGTTTTACAAATTTAATTACTCTTTCAAATGCCAGTGGTTCATCTTAAACTCTATGAGGGTCATTGTGGGATAACTTATCTCAGACATGCTCTCTTGTGCTTGCAGACTTTTATTAAGTTGTCTTATTTAGACAGTAGTACTTTGATCACACTAGTACTTTGATCAAACTGTTTTTCCTCCAACTAACCAGTGCAGGTTACTGGTTAAAAATACTTTTGTTTTGTAGATTTGTTTATATTTTGAATCAATGGATCAGATTAGTCATCTCTTATCTGTGGTAAATACTTTGCACTACTTTTATTTTAAAGGGACGCTCTTTCTAATCTTGGGTTTTTAAGTATCATTATCAATAAACTCATGTAGATTGGCTAACATGCCAGATTACGATTATAAAATTAAGGTTAATCTTCATTATTATTAATTTTTTTACATGTGTTTATACATTTGATTTTTTATTTAGCTCTTAACTGATTTTCCAATCTTTTAAAAAAGAGATTTGCTTGTGTGACAATATGGCCAATTAGCACACAGTCTTAAGGTTTGGTTTTAGAAATTTAAAAATATGTTAGTATCACTTCTGAATCCTTTCGGCTCCTGACTTTTCTCTGAGTGGGAAGGCAGAGTAAAGGTTGCTGGGCTGGGTGTGATAGTCTGACACTGCTAATGCAGATTTGACAAAAACATGAACTACTTAGTCCTCTGACCATCTCAGCCATCTGCCCTTATAGATATTAAGACTCTGTAGTTAATTTCTTGCTTTGCGTAGGTTTTATGTTTTACATTTTATCTTTCTGGAATTCGCTTCTTTTGCTCACTAAAATATACTTCACACATCTGTGTAAGATATGCTTTGAGATAGTTTGTACAAATAGGACTTGGGTAAAATATGTTCATATCATCTTTGTTCCAGGAAAAATCTGTTTATATAATTTTTCATTCCTTACATTGGATAGATAGTTAAATATGGGTTAGGCCTACTTTTTTGTTATTGATGTATATATGTCATCAACTAGTGTCATCACCATTAAGATGTCTACTACTGGTGATATAATATAGGTCAAAGTTTAACTGTGAGAACCAGTGTGGGTATGTTGACTCTGTCTAGGGAAATGAAATCAAATACATCAACACACATCATTTGACTAAGGGTGTGTGGTGGTTAGAAATTGTTCTTTCCTCACTCATGGCCTGGACTCCTATACACACTAGTAAAGTTGTGTTTGCATTGATTTTAGGTTTCACTGTAGGAATATTCGTATCTGTTCCCAAGTTCCCTACCTTTTGCCAAGTTCTCTACATGTCCCTGTCTGTTCTCAAGTTCCCTCTGGTAAGCTTAGACATATAAAGTCAAGAAACCAAACTGCAACACAACTTTATTTCTGGTTGTATGTGAGGGGGAGTGGACCTGAGTCTATACATGTATATTCATGTATTGAAGAACCATTAATTCTGAATTAAGTAGTAAATTAATTTACACTGAAATGTGCCTACACCCCCTGGCTGTCCAGTCCTGGCTATTCAAGTTTTGTGTATGTGCGAGCGAGCTGATGAAAGTGTCTTACAGTCATTAAACTTTTTTATTGTCCAAGTGTTGTATGATTTATTAACAGCAATCACTGGGTGATGCTATCCTGAGGTGGGTGGCTGGCTAATGGGTTCGATCATGGGAAGTTGGCTCAGGGTGAATAATTAACAAGTGCTCTTGGCATAGCCTTGGTACATGATTTGAAATGACTGTGTAGATGATAATGGTGTGGCATACATGAAGATTTAGAGTATATGCCACATGATTTGGAATGACAGTGTAGCAGTGTAGATAATAGTTGCGTGACATACAGGTGGTTATAGAGTACTTGCCACGTGATTTGAAATGTCTGTAATAGTGTAGTGAGAAGGAATATGTAGAGTACTTAGTTTCGCCTTCAGCACTGGTCAGTGCCGAGATTTCAGTCAGTGGTCAGCACAAACTGACCACGTGATGGCAACAGTGCTGAAAAAAAAACCAACTAAACAACTGACGTTCTCACAACTAGTTATTTTGATTATCTTAAAACCAATGCTGCGTATTACCATTCCATTATAATTAGGCTTGAGCTGTTCAGTGGTGAACCTGTCCTTCTAACGTAAACAGCTTTTAAGGTCGCCTCTAATCACAATCTGTTCGACGGGTTGACCTAATTAGTCGACGTCTCTGCTGTTTATGAACTTTGACGAAGTGGATTAACTCAACACATCCCTTAGATTTTAACTAACTAGTGGTGTGCTGGTCGATAGCTAATAATATGATCTGTAGTGTTTGCCCATTTTTATATCCATGTACATATCACACAATTATATATATATATATATATATATATATATATATATATATATATATATATATATATATATATATATATATATAATCTTGTTCTGCTTGCAGTGGTTGTGCCTTTGTATTGTAATACGTAGACGCTGTTTATGCGTGTCTGTTGCAAGTTTTAACCTTCAATAGCAGACAGCGGTTAATTAACCAATTACTACTAATGAGATTAAAAGTAGCACGGACCTGACTCGTGATGGTCGTGTTTGTCTACAGCTCGTAGATTGATGGGACGAGATCATTTTTTACTCTCTGTGTTCTCATTGACGTTCGCTAGTATTGTGGTCTAGTAGGTGGCGTGGCGGTCGCTTCACTACGCCCGCGGAGACAGGAGGGGGATTTAGTGAATGAATGGTTCGCCGGTAGATGCCACGTGTAATGAATCGAAAGTGAAAATTAATTTTTAGCGTTTAAATATTGATTGTTATAATATATTGGTTTTCCCCCTTGGTATGGTTAAAAGGTATGCGTCGATCACAGTATTTCTACAGTCAGTTCAGGATCACTGTAACGATTAGCTGACCATCTATTGTAGGGCTATATTTTCTAATATCTCCTTGTTAGTTGACCATAGGTAACTAAAAGTAAAAGTAAAGTTCTTTCAAACCTGACAGTCTATAGGGCAAGTGAAGTAGAGTTCACTTGTTTCTGTGACCTCGGCATATGAAGAGAGTGTGGTCAGCTCTATGCCCAGCCGCCTTTACTTTCCCTAACGTGAGTTAGGTACCCTTCAGAGTTGGGTGGACTCAGGGACGGTCTACTGACTTGAACCCGGATTCGAACTCGAAACTTGCGGGTTAGAAGTCCAGCTCTCTACCGCTAGACCACTCCGTCAAAGGTAACTAAGACACATTAAAGCCTGTTGGACGACATGGTAGAGCGCCCGACTGCTAGGATCGAGGTATGGACGAGATGGCAGGACTTCTCCGAGTTCATCCAGCTTTAATGTGTACCTAGCGTTAAGGAAAGTAAAGGCGGCTGGGCATATTACTGACCACACTATCCCGTCTTGTGCCGAATCAAGAAACACGAGCCCTACTTCATCTGTCAACTATGTTTTATCTGAAAAGGGGACCTTCTCTTTTTAATACAACTCTATAGATTATTAAACAAAACCCGGCATTAGTGGTTAAAGTTGCCGCTACTGAAATA